TTTCAAGGCTACTCCTTTCCTTCCTACACTATCACCCGCACGGAGCCACAGCCAAAGGTCAAGGACGACATAGATTATTGCTGCATGCGCAGCCCAGTCGAGCGCCGTCAACAGAGAGACAACAGCCCAGACTTTCGGATCGGTTTCTGCTCGCAAATGCAACCCCGCCTAGTCTAGAAGTTAGGCACTTAATCTACGACTTCATTCCCGGGACGAACTTTTCCGCGCAAAAGCCACAAAAGCCTTTCGTGCCAAACCTGGTTGATACCAGACTACAAATCAAACTCGACGCTGTCGCCGAATTCGACCCAGCTGCAAACGAAATCATACACAAGATCGAAAAGCTGTCCAACACGATACAGGGAACAGGGGAAGGCGCCACCGACTGGGTATCTGAGGAGAGCAAGCGGAGGAAAGTTCACTGCTTGGGTCAGCCGCTACGAGGAGTACCACGACTTCAAAAAAAGGTCACCTATCAACAGAAGTCCGTCGAACCTAGGTAGGTACCCCCGCCAGCCCCTATAGCCATTCCCTAGCGACCATTTTCTTCCTACAATCCGGACAGCATGGTACCGATCCTTGTATTGGAATATGCTGGCTAGTATCCAGAGCACATGAAATAAATCCAGGCATTTTGATATCAAAAGCCGTTGTCCGACTGGCCAAAATATCTGTCGCGTGTTCTCCCACCCCGAGAAAAACCATCAGCATGCCATTCCTAGTTCGTCTCTGCTATTAACTGATACACTGTCATCCTTTGAGGTTTAAGACTTACATTTAGTCTTCGGCCCTCCCTTCTATTCCCCTCCTTCTTGTCGTTATATATTTTGCATAACCTATTTAAAAGAATAACCTTGGGTAACTTTTTTGTGCAAGTCCCTTCAGCCGCTTGTCGTCACCAGAGCAGTGATCTGGCCAGGCGAGACTTCAAGGGTTCGACATAACCGTGGTGAAAACTAAAATATGAATGGGCAAAAACAACATATCACTCGTTAAAATAGTAAAGATATATACATAGGGCATATTACGACAACTCATAACGGTGCTCATGTTTCTGTGGCAGAGAACCGGGTGCTTCAGGAATACCATAAGAAAGATCATAGTCATTACCACGCAACTCGGCTGGAACATGTTGCCAATAGCCGGTCGGCACAATCTTTATGCCTGGACCTTCTTCAGTAGATGGACTGTTCGCTTCCCCAGCCGACTGTCTCGAATTTCGCCGGCGACGGATGACAAAAAGCCAAGCCGAACCACACACCAACGCCGCTGCTCCAACTCCGCATCCAACTCCGATACCGATCGTGGTTTCTCGAGACAGATCCGACGAGCCCGACTTGCTTGCATTAGATCCTGACGTGCTGGCGGCGCTATTGGATGTCGCTTTAGAAGATGGGAGTGCTGTCCAGTGAGATTTCCAACTAGCCTCCCACGAGTTGTCTGTTGCAGGAATACTAGAAGAAGAGACTTCGATGGTGGTTTGATCTGGAACATCAACGAGACCAGGGCCAGGTGCTTGAGCCAAGAACCAGGATCCATAGCCCTTCCCTGTGCCAAAGTCTTCTGCGACAAAGGCTGCTTGTAGGAAAGCACGCCCAAGAGAATACACATTATCGGACGGGTAGCAAGGGAAGTAGGGGGTCGCCTCGCTGACCAGAGGGGGTTCCAAAGTCAGATTCAACAGCGCAAACGGCACTTTGATGGTGATGTTTCGGCTGTATGTAGAATCCTTCTGAAAAATGAAAGATAGATAAGCAGGCGACGTTACAATCTTGCGGTAGATTTCATCATCCGTCTTCCAGAGGTAGAGACCAAGATCAGGGTTGAATGTCACGGGGAGCGTGGACGCGATGCTGTCGCAGGTGCTCTGTGGCAGGTAAAGATATGGCCGTGTGAAGTCCAGTTCGACTGTCAGAGGTGCTGTCAAACTCGAATTTGACCCCGAGAGTAGACCTGTCTTCCGGCTGTAGCTCCATGGCGACCCGCCTGTGGCAACTCCCAGTCCAATATCCTGGAGTTTAATGACTAGGTTTCCTCCTGGATTTGTAGCGAAAGGTGTGAAGGGTTGGGCTGAGGTCTCCCCCATGATGCGGTTGCTATCGTACCCTCCCAGCCAAGCAGATCCCGGGATGCCGAGCTTTGCTGACCCGATATGTATTCCATACGAATACGAAGGAGTTCGTCGGCTAGCCGTTGTGTACATATAGCTAGCGATGAACGTCATGGTGTATCCCCAAATATGAGTCAATGCAGGTGCTCCCATCGATAAAATCCCAACCTCAATCGGATAGTTGCGACCATTCGGGTATGTCTGATAGGCGTCAGAAAGTCCAGTCATGCTGACGTTTGGAACGGTCGAGCCAAGCCCGATGTCGAAATTGTCGTAGAAGACGTTTTGGGCAGCCCATCCCGACAGTGAAGCATCGCTCCATTGTCCAGCTGTGTTGGCTGCATCGTCCCCCGCAGAAGGTGACTCGTTGCGATTATATACACCAGCATCATCTGCGTAGCATTTTGTCGACGAGGACCAAGAGGTTTGGTTGTCACAAATGGTCGACAACAGAATGGTACTGGTCCAACGCCCACCAGGATAGAGAGCGACTGTTTGTGATGGCGAGCCTATTCCCACTGATACAGCTTGCCATGGGCCATCAGGACCGAAGGACTTGTCAGACCAGGTAAGCGGGAATATTGAATTCGCTTCAGTGATTCCCCGACTCAAAATGAACCAGTGGCACAACACAAAGAGTATGAAGGGACGGACAGTATTAGGTATTGTGTTCATAGCGCGCAGCGAGGCTTCAGGCCTTAGTCTGTTATGAGCAAGGAAAGATTGAGCAATAGAGGTTTGCATCAAACATGAGCCCTGGGTCTTCTGAGTAACGACAGCATTAAGCAAGGAAAAATGGAAAAGGGGCGTTGCCCACAGAGAGGAATGTTTCAAATATTTCAAATACAACTAAGCAGTACAGCAGCTCTACTCCTAAGGGGAAAGGAGTGAGCGCTAAATACATATTTAGCTACAGGACCGATCTGCGAGAGTCCGAGACATGTGCCTTACAGAGGACCGCCGCGGACCCACCATATCCTTAATTTTCGCGTATCTTCAGTGCCGAATTAGGCGCCTAGCACAATGGCCGTCACTTGTTTAAAGCGCCTAACACGGATTGACTGGTCATAGGAAGTCAGGCCATATCCCTCTATTCGCAGCTAAGTGAGAGTCGATCATTTTTCTGAATAAGTGAATGGCCCAGGCATGACAGTGCGACGAAGCGCGACACTCAGGGTTCCAGGACAAGGTCCGTTCTGGGAACCGTTTCAGCCTCTGGACTAGAGGCTTGGCGGGCGCGTAAAGATAACCCGAGGAGATTCGGTAAACCGACAATCATCGACATTAGGAAGGCTCTCTCATCACATTGTGATCTATTCCCCGGTCCTTATCAACTTCCAATAATTTCAGTTTTGAAAATAGCTCCTCAGATATTAATTCAACTAATTATATACGGCGTAAGTGATCATAGCGGATCGAGGGTGGGTATCTGCACTTACATATTCGCGCTGGCGCTAATGCAGCTCGACGGAACCAATCACGCCGTTCCATTGGCAGTCCAGATAATCGTTAGTCTATATAACTGCCTAGCTTAAGTCCGGATGATAGGTTGGGGCAAAAGAAAGTCACTGATCGCGCCCGGCTTCCAACTCATCTTGCCATCGCTTATAGGGCCCTTCGCAAATAGTGGACTCACAATGATAAAGGTAAGGCCTGGTGTCTCATATGTTGCTGGTGCAATTAGTGACTGTCAAGGCTGAGACCAGAACCTGCTGAAAATTACGGCCCCTTGAAAACCCTCCTCCCGTGACTTCCACCAGATATGGCTGCAGCGGCCACGGAGCAAATGCTGGTGTGTCTGGCAAATTTTCCCTTTCTGTGGCTCGTGACCTACTGTCACTTGTCTAGGAAGGGGGATGGAGCGACAGTCTCACCAAGGAGGAGGAAAGCTACTTTAAGGACTGCAGGGAATGGGCTATTTGGTATATTGACACGGTCGACTACGAGAGGCAGATCTTATTCTGCGACTGCAGCAACATCGAGTTTGGTTTAAAAACGAGACTGGTGACACAAATTGGCGCACTACTAGAAGTGGTCGAATTACTTTTCTCCCACCAAGGGTTGGGGTTTACATCAGGGAGGGGACATTCGGGGTTGACTCTCACGACGGGACATACAAAATCGGACCATGATATTGTGTTGGGTCATTAACTATGCACATGGCCAATCTGAATTTGATTCGCAGGTAGATGATCCCGTGATGGGGACTGCTATGCGACACTGGCAGCTTGACACAATCTGTTGTGTCATATATCTGGTGGCTTTCCTCCCAAAGTCGCAGCTGACTATTTTCAATGGCATCACAACCAATTTGACTGAATATAGAAGGCATAGCCTTCATAGATGCTGCTTTAACAGTAGAACCGCTATCACCCTCTATATCGAAAATTCAGAATATCTGCTCAAATAGGGATTGAATCAGATCTCACCACGAATATCCATCGTAAAATTGTTTCCCTGTTGTTGGTAGGCTAAGGTGACCCTGTTCGTGGATTTTTTTAGTTGAAGTATCTGCGAGAGGACAGAACGCCTGAGCTTGTTCTGGGAAAAAGAATGGCGGCGATATCGGTTGCCATTCCGTTGTTGAACCAAATATGGCATCTTGTCCAAGCCACTCGGAAAACTTCATTCTTACACAATTTGTGCGATTGATTGCCCCCTTCGTGGTCTCAACCATTCGGGCTGGAGATCTTTTAATGGCTTCAACTATCTTGTTACCAAACCTATCACGGATAAAATCAAGAGTGAAGTGATCGAAGACCCATTTATTCCCAATCTCTGTCCAGTTGGAGGCAGCGGTGTTTAACATAAAGCTTGTTCAGTTATCATTTGCTGTCCACAGGAAAGACAGGGCGGATATTTCTTACCTCGGGGGAAGTGAAGAAGCATAAATTTTCTATATCGAGAGCAGGTATTGATGCCTTGCCTCAGGGCTACTTCCTCAAAGAATTCTATCGCATTGTTTCCCAAGAAGATCGCACATCTGCTCGGGTGTTGTTGACGGAAAGCCAGTACGTCAAACTCTCGACAGGCCCCAGGCAAAACGCGCATGATAAAGGGAAGAAGGATATGGGGATCGATTTCAAATACTTCGAGGTACACCTTGTGCGCTCTTTTGTTTCTTTAGTATACTTGGTCTCTTGGTTCGTGCGTCCCTTCCCAGGGGGTAAACGAGTGAAAGTCTTGCAATAAATCGGTAACCGCTCTTCCAAGGCCTCTCGAAAAGCTGTAGATATGGTTCTTTCCTTGGCAATAGCATCCCTCGTCTGGTAGGTACCGGATAATTGGTTAGGTTTCATGGTTGAGGTGACGCCCCGACGTAATCTTGGGCGAGGAGAAAAGGGCAGAAGGGGCAGAAGGGGTAGATATGGCATATAGGGTAGATATAGCAGACAGCGCACAATATACTCGAGAACAAATAGAGCGAGATGACTATTCTATAGGTCCGAAATATACACATTGCTCCTAGGCACTTATGCTTGTGATAGGCCTTACCGAGCATGCAACTATAGGGTGAGATGGCAGCACACCAATACTCTTACTAGGCGTGTCTGTCATTGGCCCATTTTAGCCGCTAATGCGGTTTCGGGATAGAGATATTTAACATATTACTTCGTGAGGTATTTCACGTGCACTGGTTTGGTTGGGTACAAACTGTCCTTCTCCTTCCCAACATATGGTTTCGTCGAATGTGGAAGATGCCGAGCGAAGCCAGGCATTATATGGGATATTTCATTCCCTAACATTAATCTTTTCCCATGCCACATTTTATTCACGTAGAAGCAAAAATTGAACTCTAAGGGCTTTATTGAAAGAATTTGGCGTTCTTGTATCTTCAACGATTGTGTTCCAATAATAGATTGGCAATTGCTCTGTCGACAAGAAAAGTAGCCGTTATGAAAGCCCGCCATTTTTGAGTAGAACCAATTCAATTAGTGAGGCGTTTTCGTTAACTCGGATTGCTTTTCAATAATTCTTTGTACTCAAATCCTGGGCGGATATACACCCAAGGAGTGGAAAGTATCGAGGACTTTAGAAGATTCGACATTAGAAACCGCATCCAAACACTCCCACGCTACAAGGCCTGTCCCGTCAAGAGTCTTAAAGAAAAAGCACATATGATGATCAATTCATCAAGAGAGAAAGGGGAAAGAGAGAAAGCTAGAGAAGCACTCCGTAAGGACGAGCAGACATGAACAAAGAAATCCTAGTTGCAGCTAAAGGACGGAGCCCCTGGGCGCTATCCCAGTTTAGGGTACAATATATCCTAAGATTTAAAATCGTTCTCTAAAAAATAAATCAACAAACTAGGGCCTCTATTCAGCTTTGTATGACTGCATTTCCTTAGAGGGTGACACTGGTCAAAATGTCTTAGCAGCCTGAAGCTAACATCTATACTAAAAACAAATTCAAATATAGCCTGGGACAAAGGGGCGATGTGTTAAATGCCTGGACCCTGCCACCTTTGGCGCCGTTTCAAGCGAGGTAGGTGAACTATCTATTTTCACACCAATCGCCCCCTGTCAATAGCATCTAGTCCTTCTCAACAAGTACATAGTAGAACAAAACCCCAACAAGTAGTTGAAAAGATGACAGGAAAGAAAAGACTAATGATAGTTGAGACTTGTCGGGCATGGAATACAAGCCGCTGAATGAGCTAAACTGGAGATTCGGGCAACTGACCCGAACGATATTGCAATAAAGGTGCTTTCCATGCCGTCAATCTTTCATCATCAAATATAGCAACTCCCCAGCACCATGTACCTTCATCTCCACTTTGCAAATCGACCACATCTTCAAGTGTTTCTACCGGTATATCAGACATAGGCAGCAAATACAACTTTTTCCACCCAAGATTAGGTTGCTCGCTAGACGGTAATGTCGACCAAAACTGCTCATAATCTCGAACTGCATATCGATCTGCAGGATAAAGAAAAGGAAGTCTCTCCTCCTCCGACATCCATACAGGAGGGAAATTGCTCAATTCGTCCTCCAATGCATTAAGCATCACCATATCGCGCCGAATCAAGGGCGTCCCATGAAGAAGGCGGTAAACAGACTCTGGCCCCATTGTAGCAAGTGACCTGGACCGATCCGGAAGATTCTCAAGACTTTGGAGAGTCTCTAAATTACCCCAAAATGGCATTACCTCATCAGGGAGAAATTCGAAAAATTGATAGTGACAATCATCTTTGTTCATGTGCTCCTCCATAAGATCATGTAGGCCGGCAGTCATTTCCTTGTAAATAGGGTCGAACATCGCCGTGAAGTATGTCCATACACAGGCCATTTCGTGGTATTCCCAAGGAGGCATCGGTCCAAAAAATACGCGATATGCCTCTTCATGGGGAGGCATAGAAGAGCTAGATTTTGGCTTTCTGTTCCAATTGTTGTCGAGCCAACCGTTCCCATTCTGGCGTTCAGGGTACCCAAATATATGCTCGTAGGTTTGCAATCGACATAAAGCTCTGAGCAACCGGTGCTTTTCAGTTTGAGACAACTCAATAGGGATCACTGAAGTTTCCCATTGATCACTTCCCATCCACGGGGGCCGCCGTATGTTCTTCGCATAATCGTCCAGAAAGAAATGGAACACCTTATGAAGATAGAGTAGGTGAAAAATCTCTTCCAGGCTGCCAGGCTCATCTATCCGATTCGACGAAGTCGAGGCAAGAGTACTGATTTCTTCTCTACGACGCCAGGTGTCTAACAATGCAATTGCTTCGTGTTTGTGACTGCTGAAAAGGAGACCACGAGACCGTGTAGCAGTAATTGCATCTGCTAGAAGCACTCCCCATTGATCCTTGACAATGCCATAGAGAGCTCCCTGTCGCACTGGAAGGTAGGCTTGGTGAAATATTGGCGATGAAAGCACGATAGACTTAAGAGTAGCCAGATCGTGTATTTTAAGCAAGATGAGAATGAGCAGCTCCGTTGGGAGACCTTTTAATGTCGGTTTGGCCTTGAAAAACTGTGAGCATGATGTTTTCTTTTTCAAATCGCAGCTTGTATCTTACCATGTTAATAGGACATGAAAACCTTTAGGAGGTATACAAATAGGGAGACTGGTCAACCTGATAAGTACCCGTGGACTGGAGCCCTGGAGCCCTGGAGGCGGGGGTTCTTATATAAGGCTGAGGAAAGCGGCTGGTGTATTTTTAGCTAGCCGCTGAACTAACTAAGCCGCGCGAGTAAGAATTAAGTGTGTTTTATCTAATCATTCAATTAGCTATAGTCAAAATTCATTCTAGCCCAATCAATCTGATTTAGGCGGTGGGATATATTTTGGTTGAAGCCACTAGGTATGTAATTACTGTCTTGCTGCTAGCCACTAAATATCAATTGTGCCTTTGATTAGTGTAAGCCTAGATTTCATCTACTTACGGCTCATTTCTAATGAACGGAGCTTGTGCTGTATTACCCTAGCGTTTATCTTTAAGTTGCTTATAGGCATCATCCCTGTCCTCTTGTATACATGCCTATCACGTTGTAGGGCTAATGTAAGAGCGAAAGAACAACAATCCCGCACAAATGTGTGCGCGTAACTCATAGTCTGAAACTTTTGATGTTTTGAGCTATTTCAAGTTGGCGAGACTCTTAATAAGGAGTATGAACTAGGAGTCTGTCGAGTCCCTATATAGCCCCGTATTATAACCTAGAAGAAATGTATTATTTTCATGCTTGTTTAGTCTCATTTAATTGCTACGCTAATCTCTCTTCGAATCCTTTTCTTCAACAATGGGTTTTCTTAGTGGAAAGCTCCGCTCGAAACCTGAAAGGAAGCTCTCCGAGCCCACGTACGAAACTCTAAAATACGGTGAACAACTAGTGGCACACCAGTATGCTTAGCAGAAGCCGCCGAGTCCATACGGCCCGCATTTCCAGAAAGCACCACAGTAAGAGGAGACTATACGATCGAAGGGTAAAGGGCGAGAGAATTCCCCCGGGCCACCTAGATCTCCGTGACCATGCCCATTCGTTTCACCAACCCAGGCAGAATCATGCATACTCTGACCCCTTTGAGAGAATACCAGAAGAGTGGTTAAAGCAGATGGCTACCGAGCACAAAAGATATCACACCGTAAGTGATATCAAGGATGCCCAGACCCGCTAAAACGAAATCGACCTTTATAATGCAAATCACACGCTAGCCGGGCCAAGACATCCGTTTAACCTTGCCAATGGCCTAAAGATCTAAGCTGGGATTGCGGCGGCTCAAGCTTTGGTGATCATAGGAAACACGTAATATACCTATAGGTGTAAAGAGCAAAAATATTCATCGAAAGGCTGACCTCGCATTTATAGTATCGTCTAGGGCCGTAAAGGGTTTGTGCATAAGTATCCTTAATCGTATAAAAGCGAAATGGCACTTGAAACCCATGATGACCAGATTTTGCAAAGGAGGAGGGCAGTGACGAGTCGTCGGGGTCAGATGACTGTACTGGAGGAGAAGTATGGCAAGTGGGCCTTAGAGGCTCAAGGTCAGAGATAGTAAAGATCTGTCTTTTGGCTCTACCATGTGACCTTACATGGGAGTTGGGGGTGGGGCAGAACCTAGTTGACAGAGGTATCTCCATATATGTTCTATCATCGAAAATAGTTAGTGTTGATGTGATGGAAAGAAGCTCGGAAAAATACTGTGTGAATATGGGAAGGAGGGGGAAGAGCTCCAGCCGTCGCCATGTTTCCTTATTTCATCCTTTTTTCACGCCCTGTTTCGCCTTGTTTGCGGGTACTTTGTTGGATTCTTTTGCAAACTTGGTGATTTATTGTTCTTAGCTACATGTATGCTTTTCAATTGTTGAACTTCACTGCCGAAAGTTATTATTTGCCCCTGACTATTCAAGTCTCTCCTTCGCATTGACTTCTAACACCTCAAAGTAAAAGCAAGCTTGGGATGTTCATCTGTATTGCCATTGATGCCAGTACAAATCAGTATTCTGATACCATTCTTTTATTTCTAACAATGAGGCCTCTGACCCTACATATAACAATCAGGTGGTCAGGTGGTGCAATTTTTGATGGAATCCCTGACATGTTCATCCATCTTGACTAAGAAAACATATTAAGCGTTCCAAGGCCGTTGATTTCGACTAAGTGGGATTGAAGATGGCAGACGAGAGCTTGTAGAGTCAAGAAATTTGAGGTGTGATATGGAAGGAGGGCAAAGACGGGGAAGTTGTGGATATTATACACGGCCATTTGTATACATATGTAAATAACACTTACAGTCGTGTTTCATTAGTCTACTGTGAACGAGTCTTTGCACCAGTGGACCCCAGTACTTCGGAAGGTCTGAGACCCACTTATTTTGCTGGTAGAACTTCGCATTCGGAACTAGTAAAGAGTATGCCACGGGGCGTGTACTATGTAGTAGCATAGAAAGAGCTGTCAAGGGTGAAAGACAAATGAAACGCCACTATTGGTACGTTGCAACTAGAATGGTCCAGTCACACCTGGGCGGATTAGTTGTGACCTAAAAGGAGCTCTCAACAAGATCGTTATTTGGTTTGAAACTTTGGATTTCCTCTCAACACCGGTGACATAATGCGCAGAAGGCGCAAAAGGGGCAGAAAGTACTAGCGCGGATCAATTAGAGCCAGACAACTATTTTGCGACTTGGGCATGTGCGTATTGCTTCCAGGCGCTTATGCGTGTCATAAGTCTTACTAGCATTCCACTGTGGGGTACGATGACAGCACATTCGCAGGTTAGTGCTAGTGATAAAGATAATACCAAAGCTCTTGCAGCAAATTTGACGCAAGGTAGCCTTGTTTATGCTTGCTTCGGAATTTAGTCCATACCTTACATAGACTGGTTGAATTAGTCCGTTGTGAAGTGTGTATACGCAGAAAGACCTAAAGCTGTACGGCGTGTAACTTTCTCTATCGAAGAGGCGCAGTGGAAAGGGCCGCAGGGAGGCTCAATTAAATACTTCCCCTGAAATGAGACTAGAAGTAGCAGCCCCTAGGAAGGTGGAGGACAGCCGCATGCCGCCTTGAGAAAAGCCCCACCTAGGCATACTGTATGACTGGGAATATTTTCGCAGGACCGACTTCTGGGCCCAAAGCCACTGTAATTACCGCTATAGCAAGCGTCAACTAAGAATATGGTGCCTAATCCTGAATCTTACGTGTCCAGAGTGGGCCTACCGAGTTTCTGGAATGAGAGCCTATAGGAACAAAGTAGATGTAAGTGGTCATACCGACCACAATCTGCAGCCACAGCAGGCCTTCCAGGGAAGGTCACTTACATTTCGTACTCTTGCCGGTGCTTCTTCATTATAGTAGCAACCCCACGCAGTCTCAAGTGTCCATATCTCCGTAGCCTCCCTCTAGTGCCTCCCTTCTTGTCAATCGATTATAGAATGTTTCGAGACAATGGTGCTATAGCCAGTAATCACTACGTTTCTTAACTGATTTCACCCGATATTGCTTTTTCGGAGATCGAAGACCAGCGGTTCCCGATTCACAATAATAGGACAACTCCATAGCACTAGAGGTTTTCCTAGTATGCGGTCAGAGGTGGAATTACAATTGCGCTCATTGGGGTTGGTTTATATCTAGAGGTAAATGATATTCCTCTTTACTTCTAGCTTTTGGCGTCCGGGGCTCTTTTCCTCTTTTTCTTTTCCTATCAATACACCACTTAGGCAGTCACCATATCCCTTCCACAAGTTTCTTCATCAACGGATATCAAATACAACCTCCTGTCCTACAATCGCTGGTCTACAGTCTTCTCCAGACCCCGAAGCAGGGCCATGCAATTCGGAGCCTCACACTAGGCAAATGGAAGCCAGAGAAGAGTGCACTGAGTCTGCACTAGTGCATCCACTGCCCTCGTGATCTAGAGGACCATCCTCCCTGGATATCGCTTATTCCATAAGGGGCTCTGTAAAAGAGTACTGGCAGCTCTTCAACGCTCTCTAAGGCAACACAGGCCGTTACTTCTGTTTGCAGTATTGCTTTGCCTAGTCTCCAAATCGAGAAGCTCGACATCAAACGGGTGGTTTGGGAACAATGTACACCGAACGTCTTCTGTGGCGCGTTGTGGATAAAGAAGAGCCCTTAGAGAAGCACCCAATCCTGTCTTCGCTCGTGCGAAATTTACGGCACCGAACAGGTTGGGACTTTCACCCTCGAAAACTCGTTTCTTACTACCTGTGCCTCCTATGCGAAGTCTCAAAGGCAATCTCGTAGGTGCGTCTAACTGCGCACTTGAGTTTCTTCCTCTGCGTATCGCGGTGGTCCAGCACCTGAATTCCGAGACAGTGGCACCGGGGACAGTTTCGAATATCTGATCTCACCGTGCAAGAATCTGCAGTCATTCAGATATCTTCATCAGTAAAGCCCTGGCCTATCTATAGAGCCACCGCAGTACTAAGGTTATTTTTCCCCTTTCGGGCCAGCACCTTCGGAAAATCGCTCTCGTCCCAAAAGTGTAGTTGAAGAGTCAGTCACTCTTGAGCACACTTACCTAGGGGAAGGTTACATCGAATGGCCTTCTAGTGAGGTCTGGTCCCCGTCTGGCTACGCCATGCTGATGAACCTGCACTTGTGAATTTCTAATCTCTTGGGCGTCAAGGACGAGGATCGTCTACCCATAGTTTCGCTTATATCGTTGCTTCCAGTGTCTCTGGAGAACTCTATGTGTCGGATGTGTTTGATTGAGGTGTGGACACCCTGGTTGAAGGACTAAAGAATCTTGGTTCCGTCTTAGAAGATCGCTTGTCTCAACTGAAGACGATCGAAATCGAAGGGGACTGGCAGGAATGGTGGCAGACGGAAGAGGAACAGCGCGAATAAGCACGCCAGATATATCCAAACGCACGCCGCTAGTAGATAAACAGATACACGACAGGAATGGAAAGCTGCAAGAGTTGTGTCAGAAATTGGACGTAACGTTCCATATCCGCCACTTTGACATGGAAGAATGGCAACGGGGAAGAGGGGGGAGAAGACGATGACTATTTATTTGGCTAATGAGCATCGGCCAGAGAGCGAGGACGAGGAAGAAAGTAATAGCTAGCCAAGACCCCTTGATAATATACATTCGATACCATTCTAGCTATAGAATGCACCGATCATTCCCTCACGCCCCAGACAAGACAGTATGTACGTAGGGAAGTTCGAGTGCACTCTGTGCAATTCTTCCCATGTGGGCATATCGCTCCAATCTCCCTCTGTAGAGACAGCAAGGCGGCAAGGAGACCATGGATTGACTTGAACTCTTAACTGAGGAGAGAGAGAGGAAGGAAGATCAACTAGGTGAGGAGTATACGCAGTAAGGCTGCCTCGACACCATCTGATATTCAGATTATCGTAGTTGAATATCGGGGCTCTCAGTAATATTGTTGCCGAGGTAAAAGGGAACGGTCGCGTCACACCACAAACGTAGTATCTTCCGATTTTTGCCTGAATAGCGCACCGCAACAAACTCGTCACTCTGCGTAGCCACGAAGCCATAAGACACTCTTCCACATTACCTATTGTACGCTGGTCAACATATCTACCACTGATGTTCACAAGGGGACGACGACCTTGGAAGTCAGTCCCACAACAGCTCAGAGGACCTTGAGGACTTCCAAGCTATCTTAGTAGCACTCCCACGTCCTGCTCTCCATTCTTACCACTACACGTACAACTACCAACAACACGTGTCATATCAGATAAACCATCCATAGGATGAGCAAATGCATTGGAACGAAAACATACAATGTCTATTCAAAGCTGATCATCAAGGCTAACAAAAAAAAGCACGAAACCATCATGATCACGTCGCGACCCCTCCCAGAGCTTCTTCGTCCTAGGACAAAGCGTGGGCAACATAAATCTTTTAGATCCGTTCGCGAGATCCGGGCCCGCAATCACGGTCTCGTCTCATCCATCTTCGATTCATGGCTCTTTCCCATCGTCAGCGCAACTCCCCACCACACAGATCCCAGTTCCCATGGAAAACATAAAATGGGCGACAAAACGTTAAAAAGCAATGGAAAAGCGAGGATCAAGGACCCGAAACGTGTATGCAAGAAGGAAAAAAACAGCGACGAGGGATTCGAAACAGGATTACAGGAGAAATTGGGAAATGGAACCGGAGAAGACAGAGAAAAAGAGAAAATGATATCTTCCAGGTCTTCGGAGGAAACGCCATTGCAAAGCATAAAGAAAACAAACAGGTTCCCCGCGTCAAATCGGGGTTAAGGAGAGGGGCCCCTTCACATGGTATCATAAGCGAAGTCTTCATCATTGGCCTAGCATCAACCCCCATTTACGGCATGGAAATTGTCTCCGAAATCCTTTTACTGCGAAGCACACTGCACCCGCTCGGCACCACCGGGCACGTCATCCTCGTCCTCGTCCATGCCGGCCGCGGCCGCGCCGTGGGCGCGGGCCTGGTCGTGCTCGTTCTCGGGGTCCTCGAGCTCGAAATCCTCGACCATGGCGTCGGTCGGGGGCACGATCTTCTCGGAGCGAGGAGGAAGAACCTTCTCCAAGAGTTCCAGGTTCTGGAGCTCATCCCTCGTCGGGAACTTGACATCGAACTTGATGTACAGGTTGCCGTGGTCGTGGTGGCGGAACGAGGGCATACCCTGGCCGTGGATGACCTTGATGGCATCTGGAAAGAGTGGTTAGCAACAGGGTTCACAAGGCTTGTGAGGGAAAACAAGGCAAGTCACATACCAGGAACAATAACCTCGCCAGGGGCGATGTTCACGGTCATCCACCGATCATCGAGGTGCTCAATGTGGATGGAACCGCCGGCAAGAGCGGTAAGCAGGTCGATCTCAGCCTGGTAGAACAGGTCGTCGCCCTTGCGCTGGAAGCGGGCGTGGGGCTTCTGCTCAATCTCGAACACGACGTCACCGGGCATGACACCGGGCATCTGGTCACCCTCGCCGCGGAACTCAATCTTGTGGCCATCGCGCACACCTTTGTCGACGTGGACGTGGAGCACCTTGCGCTCAACGACGGTCTTCTTGCCGTTACACTTCTTGCAACGGTCCTTATCACGGACAATCTCGCCCTCACCATTGCAGTCGGGGCAGACGGTCTGGAAGCGCTGGATCATGGGACCCATCTGGCGCATCATAGTCTTCATACCGCTACCGTTGCAGCCCGCGCACTCCTTGACAGCGCCCTCCTTTCCACCGCGGCCATCGCAGCCACCGCAGATGACGGACTTCTGGAGTGCCAACTTGGACACCTTGCCCTTGTAGATATCCTCGAGGTTAACCTTGTGCACGTGGTGGATTGTGCGGGCCTTCTTGGGACCTTGTTCACGCATGCCGCCGCCGAACATTCCGCCGAAGGGGCCGCCGCCGCCGCCGCCGAAGAATTGAGAGAACAAGTCCTCGGCGTTCATGCCGCCGCCACCGCCGCCATGCTCCAGGCCTTCCTCGCCGAGCTGATCATACAGCTGACGCTTCTCAGGGTCGGAAAGAGTCTCGTATGCGTGCGACAGTTCCTTGAACTTCTCTGCGGCATCGGGGTTGTTGGTGTTCTTGTCTTCATGTGACGAAGAGATGTCAGCTGAGCGTTTCCAACATATGCTATTCAGAATCTCTGGGGTTGTCACATACCAGGGTGGTACTTGAGAGCACCCTTCTTATAGGCAGTCTTGAGCTGAGCCTCGGTAGCGGTGGGAGCGACCTAAATGAAAGAAACCACCAAGTCAGATTTCAAGCACGAATCAAACGGGTCTAAAACCTAGCCAAATATAGTTTAACATACCCCGAGGGTGTCGTAGAACTTCGTTTCCTTGACCATTGTGAAGTATGCGGGGAATCAGAGGCGTAAGAAAAGATTATCGATATTAGGTATTCCCGTGGAATCCAGAAATGAAGCGGGAGAATGGAGGGGAGACAAAGGCGCCGTCTAAGAGTTTTCGCAGACGGCTTTTATATGAGAAATGCCAAACAGACAACAATTGCGGGTATTTGAAGTCCTGGCTGGAGATGAGAAAGTGGAGGAGGGGGAGAGAAAGGGCGAGATGGTTATCTGAACAATAATAATCGAAGCCAAAAAAAGGCTGAGTAACCTTTTTACCCAGGCACCTGTATTGGACTCGTAAAATTACCCAATAAATTACCAGCGCAACTAAGAATTCGCGATTTTGCACTAGTTTTCTTTGGCTCGCTTTGAAGCAGGTTTTGCTTTTTTTCAAACAGAATCGACAAATCGGTCTACAATACGGGCTATTCTATATCTTCAGCTCTTCTGGTGGCTTCTATGTACATCCCAAATTGGCCCGAGCGCTGATTCCACGGGATTCCGCGGCCTTCGATGGCCTTCGCAAGTTTTCTCCGCGCTTCAATGTTTTTTCTTTACCGCTGACTAACGGGGTATATTTCGCCCATCAGGCGCCGAGGTGCATGTGGAGATGTCTGGGATGAGACGAATCTCTGATGGCTGTTGATTTAGCGAGTTATTGGTTTAATAGGCATATGTATCAAATAAGGATTGTATACGGGTCTTTCCATTGTATCCTACATACACGCCCTGTAAATGTACCAGTAACTCACAACGCAGAAATTTTGAACCCTCGCCACTAACAGCCACGCTCCAGCCACATATCCCTTATCGATAAGGCAGGAGGCGAGGGGGAAAAGGCTCTTCACGCTCCACTCGATTCAATACTCGTCATAGAGGGGTTCGGAACTGTCCGATTATGCCCTGAAGTAGATCTCTGTACTCCATATCTCGTAGTTTTCTTATCTTGACCCTCTCTACTTTGTAGCCCACACTCAGCTCAATCACTACACTCTTCAAAATGGAACAAGATCCCGGATTCATTGCCGCCGTTGAAGAGGCCAAGCAGGGCCTCTCTGAGGGAGGTGTGCCAATCGGTGCTGCCCTGGTCTCGAAGGATGGAAAGATCCTGGGCCGCGGTCACAACATGCGCGTCCAGAAGGGAAGCGCTGTCTTGCATGTCAGTACAGCGTGATATATTCCAATTGATATCAATTCGCGATCTATATCTATATCCACTGTTATAAACTTTATAAACTCCCGCTAACACAGACAAGGCCGAAATGTCCGCCCTCGAAAACTCTGGCCGTCTTCCTGCTTCTGCTTACGAAGGTGCTACTATGTACACCACTCTCTCACCCTGTGATATGTGTACTGGTGCTTGTATCCTCTACAAGGTGAAGCGGGTTGTCATTGGTGAGAACAAGAACTTCATGGGTGGTGAAGAGCTTCTGCTCAACAAGGGCAAGGAGGTTGTTGTCTTGGATAATGCCGAGTGCAAGGAATTGATGACCAACTTCATGAAGGAGAAGCCTGAGCTATGGTATGTTATGTTTGATGCTTGGTCTATGGCAATGCGTAAAGCGGCTCTCGATCTGCTCGCAGTTGCACCAAGAATTTTTGGCCGTTTCATGATCATCAATACTAACTGTAGTATCCGCTATACAGGAACGAGGATATCGCTGTCTAATTTCATAAGGCCTGCATATATCATAGCCCTAAATGCCCCGAGAGTTGAAAATATTCACGCCCAAAAAATGCATTTTTAGAACCAATGTAGTCTTCAGGTCTGAGTCGGGGAAGAAGCCGACTGCTTTTAAGATTCAGGAAACAGACACTTATACGGTCAAGCGGTGGATTTCTTCAAAGAAGAACCTGAGGTCCTCCGGGTCGACGAATGGAGTGACACCTGCGGTGAGAGACAATTAGTTAAATGATATGCAGGCCCAAATTATAAGGTTCGACTAACCGTGGCCCAAGTTGCAGATCCATCCCTGCTTGCCCTTCTTGAAACCCTCAACCATGGGCTCAACCGTGGCAGTAATGGCCGGACGGCCACCGTAAAGCATGCCAGGATCCGCATTGCCCTGGATAGTCACGCGACCGTTGGCAATGCGCATGGCCTCGCCAGCATCGTGCAGCCAGTCCAAGCCGACAACATTGTAGCCCGAATCGCAAAGGTCATCCAGGGCGTACCAGGCGCCCTTGGCGAAGACGGTCATTGGCACAGGCTCCAGACCCATCTCCTGCAGCCGCTTGGGCAGGTTGGCGGAGATGTGGCGCAGATAAGGAAGCGAGAACGACTTGAACGAGACGGGAGACAGCTCGCCGGCCCATGAGTCGAAGACCTGCACCAGCTGCGCTCCGGCAGCGACCTGGAGGGCGAGATATTCCACACAGATCTCGGCAATCTTCTGCAGAAGAGCCTGTGCCTCGGCAGGGTACTTGTAGACCCATTTCTTAGACTGCACGAAGAGCTTGCTGCCACCGCCTTCGACCATGTAACACAGCAGTGTCCATGGTGCACCACAGAAGCCAATTAGGGGCACCCGGCCCTTCAGCTTGAATCTTGTAAGGGTAATCGCCTTATAGACATAGTCCAGCTCTGCTTTAACATCCACCTTCTTCGCCATCACCTTCTCATACTGCCCGTCCGTCGGGGAGTCGAGGGGCTCGGGGAAATGAGGTCCCTTCTTGTCCACCATCTCCACGACCATTCCCATAGCCTGCGGAATGACTAGGATATCAGAGAAGATAATTGCGGCGTCGATGAGGCCTTCATAGCGCTCAACGGGCTGGATGGTCAAGGTCGATGCGATTTCGGGGGACCGGCAGCATTCGAAGAAGTCACGGCCGCCCTTCGCCTCGTGGTATTCAGGGAGATATCGGCCAGCTGTTTAATCAGGAAAGAAATGTCAATCAATTGTTCTTGAGGACGTAGTGCATGGATAAGTCTGACTCACCCTGTCGCATAACCCATATGGGAGGACGCTCCACCTTCTCACCTGCGATTGTCAGCTCCGATTAGAACAAAAACCACAGAGTAGGCATACCCCGTGCAGCCCTCAGCAGCAAATCGTTTTTCAAAGGCTCGAATTGTTCCTGCATTGTGTTGGTGGAATATGCAAGTGGGATGGAGGGGGAAAGTGGGATTATAACAAGGTTCTCCGGGTACCCCGGCCCGCGATTATCGGAAAGCACATTGGAGTGGCAACGCTTTGTACCCGTTATACGTTCATAGCTTCGTTGTCTTAATGAGGTTCGCTTTTACTGAATTTTCAGCCATTCTTTTCGTGTCCATTGAAACAAATTTGCAATTCGAGTTGTCAAACATGCTAGTGTGTTTCGCCATTGGATATTCGCAAGCTCGATCCTTTCGGGATATGGCAACGGAGCACAAGCAACTAATACGTATAGCACGGAACTGAATGGAGAAACATTCAATGCGGCGAAAGTAACCGGTATAAATTGCGATAGTCCATTACAGAAGGAAACAATCGCCGCAGTTGAGAAATGTGCCGGCATGTTGTCCAAAAACGACACTCCTATAGGCTGTTGTCTGTTTACTCATGGTCGGACCTGGAATGGGCATTTATGACTGAGCTTTGAGCGAAGTCTTTATCCTGGACGTGAGGTGGATTGTCGGACTTTATGGGGTTATACCCAATAAAGCTCTGGTGACACCTGAGTTTGGCATCCATTCCAAAACTTTCAAATCATTTTCTTCTCATACTCGGGTTAGGTTGGTTTGATATCCTTTCTTTCTCCTTAATAGGGGCAAAGAAGACGAAGAGGCAGTGGAAATGAAGATGGTGTGAGAAGATTTCCGGGAATATATATTTCGATTCGTGTGATGCGAATTTTACGGCTATGCTTTTTTTTTTTCTATTTCAACAAATTATAATGGACCTTGAAAACTGCTGCATTACATATGTATTTAGAACTCTAATTGATCATTTGCTGTACATTCATTAAAAGCATGCTTTTATTCGTCGTAGTCACCTCTCTTCCGCAGGTTGCCCAAATTGTACATTGAATCATTGAGCTCTTTCTGCTCTTTCTGCTCCATTGTGGTAGAGAGACTTGAGGTGCCTTCGGAGTTGATTTTGATGACCATGGAGTCCTCTACAGGAGCCCACTTTCCAGAGCTGAGCCGCAAAGCTTCGAGAGGAGATTGGGAAGACGACTTCCAGGCACTTGTCGAATCAGATTGCCGCAAAGTATCCACGGCAACAAGAATAGAGCCTCTTGAATCAATGCCAAGCAGTTCAAGAACGTTTCCAGATAGCTGGAGGGTCTGTTGGTGAGTTATCGTGTTGTCGCTTTCGAGAGTGTAGCAAAGAAGCTGTGAAGACCTGCTCTAAATGTTAGGAGAATTATAGATCTCATCAATGGCTATTGGAACATACCCTTCAAGGGCAACAAAGATAGCCTTCACAGGATCGGCATTATCTGCCGTAGGCGCAAGGGAAATATCCCAAATGCCGCGCACTGTAGTCTCTCCTTCCAACCCAGGAAGCTGAACTTTCTGTAAGATCTCGTTCTCGAGCCAGTCCCACACAAGCAGATAGTTGTCGCCGCCACCCGAGATGAGAACCTTGGGTTCGAACGAAGGGACACAAAGACTGCTGACAAATGAAGTGTGGCCAAAGCAGAACTGCTCAATTACATGCGCTTGGGGAACACCACGAGAGACACGGATGTGCTCATCACGATCCGCAGTCAGGATGTAACTCCGCTTGCCAACCGTCGTATCCGCAGGCCGGGTAACGGATATCAACTCAGTCAACAACGAAACGTGACCGATAATGAGTTGATGCTCGAAGTTCAGCGCAACTCGTTCCGCTGGGTTGGTCTTCGATAGAGCAGCCTGTCGCATTTGTTGCTCCAATGATTCAAGGTTGCGTTTCGTGTGCACCGTGAGGTTTGTGGCAGAGGGCTCATATGCTTTCGCTGGAGCCTGGGCTTTCACATATTCTCCGCTCGGAATCAGTGGGAAAGTGTACACATCTCCGAATTTATCACCCGTCAAGATGTTGTTCTCATCAGGAGTCAGAGTAAGCGCAGAGAGCTTTTTTGGCATTGTACTATAAATGATAAGTTTGGCGAGCTTGCAAATAGAAAAATAGTCACTCACCGAGCACTCAATTGCTGGAGTTTTCCTTCGTCATCCAAACTCAGGACTCGAACACATTTATCCTCGGAAGTCATGGTTACTACATATTTGCCGTGGGCGACAGTCACGAGAGGAATGTTGGTCCAGGAGTTGGAAGCTTCTTTGTTCGAATCCTTAGGTTTCGACTCGGATTTGGCATCCTTTTGTTCCTCGGAGGTTGAAGACAACTTCCTTCGCTTTTCTGGGGGGGGTTGGCTTTCAGATTCGGGAGCTGCGTCAGAGCTTTTACCCTCGGCATTGGCATCTACGGGTTGAGGCCACACATCCAGGCGCTGACCACTGGACGCATCGTAAGAGTAGAGATTGCGACCAGCAGTGGCGATAAGGATATCCGATTGGCCTGCTGACTGCCTGTTAACATATCGCAGACACTGGAACGGATGTTGAAGACCGGCCATGATGAAGGACTGTGATCCACAGAATGGAAATGGTCAATTAGCTCCAAAAATGCGCCGACTGTGTATCAATTGTAGCCAAGAAGACAACAAATAACAGTAAGAGCTCCCGAGATCCCTCTGATCGAATTCAGGCCATGTCTGTCCATCATGGGCGGGTCTACTTTTTAGGTCACGTGACCCACTAGCGAGCGCACCACCAAAATTGATTTTCCCAAAATCGGCAAGCTCTTCTTTTCTTCTCTTCAATTAACCACCACAACAACAGACTTTCCCTTAAACAACCTATCTTCACCGAAATCAAGAAGAAATGGGGGGCAAGTCCGCAACCAAGACCGCTTACTTTGAGAAGCTGCGTTCTCTGTTAGTTCCCTCTCAATGGAGCCTGGCAATTGACTTGATCCGAAAGTTCTAACAATCTTGTTACAGTCTCAATGAGTACAGCACCATCTTCATCGTGGGAGTTGACAATGTCAGCTCTCAGCAGATGCACGAGATCCGTATCTCCCTCCGTGGAGAGGCCGTCGTCCTGATGGGTAAGAACACCATGGTTCGTCGTGCCCTCAAGGGTTTCGTCGCCGAGAACCCCGAGTGGGAGCGTCTTCTTCCCCACGTCCGTGGCAACGTTGGTTTCATCTTCACCAACGGTGACCTCAAGGCCACCAAGGAGAAGATCCTTGCCAACCGTGTCGCTGCTCCCGCTCGTGCCGGTGCCGTCGCCCCCGATGATGTCTGGATTCCCGGTGGTAACACTGGTATGGAGCCCGGTAAGACCGCCTTCTTCCAGGCTCTCGGTGTCCCCACCAAGATTGCTCGTGGTACCATTGAGATTGTTTCCGACCTCAAGCTCGTTGAGGCTGGCAACAAGGTCGGTGCCTCCGAGGCTACTCTCCTTAACCTGCTGAACATCTCTCCGTTCACCTACGGTATGACCATCACCCAGGTCTACGAGAACGGTCAGTGCTTCGGCGCCGATGTTCTTGACATCACCGATGAGCAGCTCCTGGGCGCCTTCTCCCAGGCTATCTCCACCATCACTGCTGTCTCCCTGGCTACCGGCTACCCCACCCTTCCTTCCGTTATGCACTCCCTCATCAACGGATACAAGAAGGTCCTTGCTGCCGCCATCAGCACCGACTACAGCTGGTCCGAGATTGAGGAGCTCAAGGACCGCATCGCTAACCCCGATGCGTACGCCTCTGCTGCCCCTGTCGCCGCCGCCGCCACTTCCGGCGGTGAGGCCGCTGCCGCCGCTGCTCCCGCTGAGGAGGAGGAGGAGTCCGATGAGGACATGGGCTTCGGTCTCTTCGACTAAGCGCCTCCTCGACGGGATGCGAATGCCATGTATTAGATTTACTTGAACCGGAGCTTGAAATAGCGACCGGGAATGAAACAACATGTCTTGGCAATGGATTTCCTTCGGAAACCTAGGACTCGTGTAATGGCCGTAGTTGCGCCCATTGTTCGTTTCCACAAAATTGGTGAGTTTTTAATTCTTTCTCGCTTCCCCCTTGCACACGCACCACCTCACATCACCCTGGCGGATGATTATACATTTTTAACCCCGAGCATTTACGCCCCCCTCCGGGGCGCTCTGAAGATTAAAATAATGCAACAACAACACTCTAATTTTTTGCTGACGCCATGCCTTTACCCTCACACACGCTTTTGACTTGGACTTTTTGATTCCCCAATTTGCAAACAATTGCTAACTTGTGACAAGATTACAGATGCTCTTCATTCGACCTGCGATAGTAGTGCCGATATGTTGTCGCCGTAGACAATTTTGTAGTTGGAGGCTGTCGGAAATCCTGTTCGCTATCTCTATTTGTGCAGCTGCCGTAATAGATGGTTGCTCAATGAAAAATCGGTCTCTTCGACATTCTTGTTCTGTTCGTAATGGTCACGTGATACAGCGATCAAGCCCACCAACACATGCCGTAGGATTAGGTATCTTTTGTATAGCAAACCCATACAAAAGGTACATAAAACACACAATGGCCTACTAGAACTCAGGCCCCAGATTGACGAACTTCGGTGCCAACTTGGCTATTGTCGCCCATCATCCTCTTATCTTAGCAAGGATGCTCCAATTGAAGGCAGGCGGAGCGGATCGAAGTGGCCTCGGGGTCCGAAGTCCGAGTACGGAGGCCAAAGGTGCAAGCCTGTTGACGTGAGATGGCCGACAAGTTGATACTGGATGAGAATGCGATATCACGTTGTTTACTCATCTATCCCCTAAGGAGATCGTACCGTAAAGATATACACCTCACTTGATCAATTTTTACAATGACCAAGAATACCTATCAGTGAGACGCCTACGAGCTGGACCTCGTGACGATCTGTGCTAGGCAGTATACTAATCTATACTGCACGGGAAGATGAATGGCTGTATGTGCTCATTTCTCGTAGATTATAAATATTGTTATCCTTCTTGTTCAGTCTCTCCCTTAGTCCGTTATTCGGACGGCGTTGGCTTTCGCTATGTTCCAGCCGCCCAGCAACGACAGATTGATCACACCAGAGTACAGGACCTGGGTAAATGAGAATTACGACAGGAGTTGGGAGCAGCTCTAAAACTCCCTGATTGGGTTTGAATATGTCGAGTCAAACCGTCCATCTTTTCCGTGGATCCTTAGCGACGTCAGCAGCTTCTGGAGGACCTGTAGAATAATGGTAATGGGATGCGCTTCATAGGCGAGCATTTCTGCAACATCACCAGCAATGAGGAAGCCAATAAAGTAGTGTGCGATTTCCTTCGATAGAATGTCTATCGGATTATGAAGGACCCGAAAAAGGCGCGTAAGCTCATCCCCACCGAGCTCTTTACTCGACGACCAGTCTCAATGATGGTTATTACGAAACGTATAACCGGGAAATTGTGTCAATTGTAGACTTAAAGGAGACCCCAATTGTAGAGATCACCTCTAACAGCCTACGGACCGAGGACGGAACTGTGCACAAACTCGATGTACTCGTCCTCGCCACCGGCTTTAACGCCGTTGAAGGCAATCTCGTTCGGGTGAACATCGTGGGATATAGTGGTAAGGAGCTTAAGGATGCCTAGGTGAATGGATGGACTTAATTCCTACCTTGGTGGCTTCGCCGCTAGGTTCCCTAACATGTTTATAGTGACTGGCCTGAAGCGGGTATTCGGAAACGTTACGAGCCAGCGTCGAGTATATTACTTATGCTATCCAGCGAGGTACATGTAGAAACATAGAAATATCGCAAGGGATCGTCAAGAACCGTCACAAGGGGTTCCATAACTCAGTTGGTTAGAGTGTGGTGCTAATAACGCCAAAGTCGAGGGTTCGACCCCCTCTGGAACCACGTTTCTTTTTTAGTTTTTTTGGCCCTATATTCCCGAATACAGTAACACCTCGTTGATAACTCAGTTGGTTAGAGTGTGCACCCAGGAAGCAGAGGATGAAGAGGGTCAGGTGTGTGAAAACGCCGCGAAAGTCAATCTTTTCAACAAGTTGAAAAACTCTTGGTTCACTGGAGGTAACATCCCTGGAAAAGCGATCGGTCTGAGAGCCGTATTTTAGAAGGCTGGGCAGTTATCCAGCGTTCGGGTAGTGCCACGAAGGATATCTAGAAGGGGTTTGTTTAAACCACTATCCTAGGCAGATGGAAAAGGCAGCTGGAACCACTCACTGCTTCTGCGTTCTCGCATCGTTTATTTTGTGCTGTTGCTTCTCATAATGTCATTAGTATTTGCGATAGACCTAAATGTGTGAAACTGTTATAAGTCCTCAAGGCTAGAAAATTAGAGTAGTCCTAGTTCACTGGAGGGAATATCCCTACCAGGTCGATCAATGAGAACATGCCATGTAAGGCAAGGCTGCGAACGAAATGTGGGAAAACTTAGATATCCCTTCCAAAGTTGTCATCAATTCCATTTGTCAACCAGTTGAACAGATTCCAAGGGACAGATTGTATCAGATATAGTCCACCTAGTCTGAACATCATCTTCGGTGAGACGAGGTGATACATCCTTCAAAGTAGACACGAAAGGGCTATTTCCAGCGCTTGAGGCGAGGAGTAGAAGAAGCTTTCCATAAGCCCATGTGTCATTCAATTGACGCACTTGGAGTGAGAGCTCCAGTGGAGAGATTTCGTCCCAGATCTCCGGTGCCCGCCACTCATGCGTGATTCTACCAATGCCGCTCACATCGATCAAAACCGCGTCGCCATCTCCGTTGATCACGAGGTTTGAAGGTTTCAGGTCCATGTAAGTCTTCTTTGCCATGTGAAAATGATGCAAGGCAGTGCCGATCTGGATGGGCCACCGCTCCCATGGAAAAGCTTCTATACGTTGCCCATCGAGTATATGCTGCAAAGAACCACCACTATAATATTCTAGCAAGACACCACTGATGACCCATTGCCGGGCACATGTTTTGGAGGTCATGTACGGGCTTGTAGACACTGCTAGTCCAGCAGCCTGCACGATTCCTGGCACACCTTTAAACTCCTCAAGATTTCGAGCTCTCTTTCCATCACTTCTGTATCACGAGGCTGATACAAAGGGCGATTGCCAACTTTTAGAATATAAGGCAGCTCGCGGACCTGATTGAAGACACGGAAAGCCCCGTCTGTGATTTCTTCCCAATCTCGAGTCCCGAAATCTCGATTGTAGGATATGTGGGGAATTGAGAAACCGGCGGATATACGACTCTTGAAGGTTCTTCCCGGATTAAGAGACTTAGTTGGCTGATGAACTCTGCAGCTCCGCCTTGTACATCGAGCGTGTTTGAAATCGTTTTAGCCTCGTCGTCTAACAGAACCTCAGCCACAGTGTTCTCCAGTAGAGGAAGCGATCGATAGTCGATTAATTTGATAAAATCTTGGTATTCTTCGAGTCGCTCGCGTCGCTCACGTTTTCGTCTGCTTCTGGTTTTACTGAATGTGTAGGGAAAATCACCCCGAAAAGTCACCTTGATCCAACATTTCTGGTCTGAGAGATGGTATATGGATGTCTGTGAGCGGATGCTAGGCTCTGACTTTCCCTGCGCGAGATAATCCTCATCTTCATGCTACGCTTTCAGCTCAGAAGAAGGAGCGCAGCAAGAAGAGGTTGAAGCTAAGGCGACCGGTGTGGTAGGGTTGTTAAGAGAAAAGTGAAGACGACAGGTCAGCGCTAATCTTTGGTCGCAGACTGAGGAAAGGGACGGACGAGGGGCACGAATATGTGGCAGTTCTTTTAAGTTTCTATTGGTTGGCGTTTTAACATAGGCAAATTAGCCGAGGGAACATAGTATTTTTGTTCTGGAGAAAATTCGGCTCTGGTTGGAAAACCCCAGGCTCTGGTTGTAACTTGTGTAGCAGACAATTTTGTAAATGGCTTATGGATGCAATCCAGCATCGGGCTCTACGATACGGTCTGAAAGCTACCAATCGGTCCCAAGACGCGCCCGCGATCTGACTGACGAGCTCGTGATACTCACTAAAGTCCTTGATGGCTTGAATGAGACCATCGGAAGCAACACCGTCCGCTTCGCTTTTCTTGAACATGCCATATATCGGAGTTAGCAACTGTATAACGGCCATATGGATCGGATTCTGGTTCTATAACCGCTCGGACAGGAATGCACAGTCTCCGGATTACTAGTACTGGACTTATGGTTTGTAGCAGGAGATATTGACACAGGGGATAATCTCACAGTGAAACGGATGACACATCGGCAACAATTGTATAATGATCTCGACGCTTTAGGGTGTGATATAGACCCTCACAGGCTGACCGACATATTAGGTCAGGACTCCAGATCCAGCAATTTTGCAAATTCTCCATCCGCCTTATTCACCAACTCCTGTGGATGCCCCACTTCTATCAGTTGACCACTAGCCAGGACAGCAACTTGGTCAAAGTCAAGCAGACTATGTATTCTGTGCGCCACCATGATCACGGTGCAGTCACGGAATGACTCCCGTATGACCTTTTGCACTTTAGCATCTGTTTCCGGGTCCAAACTACACACAATATGCTAGTCAGCTACCACGTAAACTGACGGAATAGAATGGAATGGAACCAATAACCGATGGACATACCTGCTTGTTGGCTCATCCAAAATCAGGATTTTGCTCCTCTTCAGCAGAGCTCGGGCTAGACAGAATAGCTGTTTTTGGCCCTGCGATAGAATGCTGTCGTCTAGGATTGAATCCAGCATATCCTCATCCGTGCTACCAGGGCTTGCCGCAAGAAAGTCCCAAACTCCAACAGATTGCAGCGCATCAATTATCTGCGTGCTCGAAACGATGTTCAGTGGATCGGCGTTCTGCCTGATGGTGCCGGGGAAAAGGAAAGGCTCTTGGCTGAGACAGCTGATACGTTGTCGGATTGATGATCGAGACATAAGGGAGATATCTTGTCCATCGATGAAGATTTGACCCGAATTAATCTCGTTGAGACGGAGGAGTGATAGTGCCAATGTACTTTTGCCACTATTTTGTAGTAATTTGTTAGCCCTGTCTTTGGGGAAAGCGCTTAAATCAGGAGTCCAAGAGAGTAAGATTTACCTTCCTGTTCTGCCACAAAGGCCAAACTTCTTCCCGGCACAGATCCGAAGGTTGATGCTGTCGAGTAAAGGCTTTGTCTCGAAGGAATTCCAAGAAATACTCGCATCCACAAATGCGATCTCACCTTGAGTCGGCCATTCTAGGAGTTCGTCATGACTCTGGATGGCCGTGTTGCTCTCTTCATCGGGGGTTCCTTCGGCAAAGTCCTTGATACGTGAGATGGCCCCCAGTGACGTTTCAAGCAAAGTCCAATTCTGAATCAGCTCTGATAGAACGAGTCCCAGATCCATCATCATGACAAGGGCAATACCCAAAAGGCCCGAGTCAACACGACTGCGGAGAGCGAAAGAGATCCCAACAAGAAGCACTGTTATAGCGGCTACAATCAGATTTAGCACGAGACTCAGCCAGCGTTGGATGCATAAGAGAAGATAGTAGGGCCTTTGGGCGGTGTCCAGCATGGAGATCATTCGAGATGTGGCGGCGTGGGTCCAGGAAAAGGCGCGGATAGTGGTGATTCCTGCTAGTGACTCGATGAAGTGGGTGTATAGAGGGCTCTTGAGCTCGATTCTGTAGGTGAGCTGAATTAGTTCCATGAATGAGAAATGAAGTATACAGCGCAGATCAAGATGAGAAGGGTGAATGAAAAATAACGACGCACTCCAGTAGCCGCAGTTGACGAGATGTCTTGAGATAGAACCGCTGGATCAGAACCAGGACTCCAAGCAGGAGCGGCAGAGCTGCTGCCAAGTAGGGCAGTGAAGCTATAGCAGTGGCGCCTTGGGCAATAGCTCCAAAAAACTCTGGAAGTTGTTATAGTTAGAGATTGCCCAATCATTCGTTAGTATTTTCCATTTATTTACTTACGGAACCCTGTAGATATAAAACCCCGAGGTAGAATCATGTCGACCAGCCTCATGTCCTGGCTAAAGCGGGTTACCAGGACTCCAGTATCAACATTCGACAAGAAGGACAATGGGGCACTGTAGTTGTTAGTCAATTACAGAGGCGAGTATTCAAGACACTCACCCCATGCAAGCGCGCAGCACGATAGAATGGAGATTTTTAGAAGCCGCCGGGACGATAATCACCCAGGTCCAGCTAGTACCAGACCACAAAGGTCAGCCAAGGCACGAAACCAAGGACGATGGTTATGAAACTCACAATACGGCAAGTGCCAGGGAAAGAGCTTGAATAACGGAGAATGCGCCATATAGTCCAAGCCAATAGCCTAGGCGTGAGGCTGTAGCGTTATCACTGCTGCTGGACCAGAGGTCGACCCATACGTCTATGGCAAAGTGAGTCATATGCGGTTTTGTCAATAAGGTGTTGAGAATATAATTGCAACTTACAGCGGAATGCGCTTATGCCGGCTTCGGTAACCAGGAAGAAAAGCAAGGCAGCAATTCGGAACCAGCCTAGCGCAGAGAAATAATACTTGTATACAGTAAGGTCGGTCGTCTGCCGATGGGCATCTGGAGAAGGAGCGCTAGTGGAGTCTGCAGTGTGATTAGAGGGCTTCGCTAGCTCGTCAATTCTCTTCTCTTCATCTGTTTGCGTGAGGCGGATTCCATGGATCTGAGTGAGGTCGTCCGCGTCGTCTCGAAGTTCGGTATAGGTGCCCTGCTTGACGACTTGGCCATTCGTTCCGAGAACCATGATCAGGTCAGCTTGGGGTAAGTGATGGACTAGAACATAATCAGTGTGAGATTTAAATTTTGATCGGCTAAACGAGCCAGCTGGCGACCGAAATGCACATACTTGTATGAGTTGATAAGAACACCGTACAGCCCAGCCGACGTAATAGTCCAGCCGGACCAAAGACATTATTGAAGACATGCCGAGCGGTTGCGTTGTCCAGGCCACTGAGAACATCGTCGAAGCAAGCGATGCGTTTGCGAGCATAAACGGCCCGCGCGATAGCCTATACAGGTCAAGGTGTTAGTGGACGACCAATAAAGACATAGAGGAAGTAAGCCACCAACAATTCTTTGTCTCTGGCCTCCGCTGAGTTTAGACCCTTTACTACCCACGGATGTCTTGTCTCCTGCCGCCATCTTCTTGAGATCCAGATCCAGCGCACATGCGCGGACAACGGTATGATACCAGTCCGGATCAAACGTAGATGGGTCTTGGCCCACAATATTATTCTGTATTGATGCATTGGATAGCCATGGTGTTTCATCACAGAATGCTAGATCCGGGTACTTGATGAAAAGCTCCCCTTCCAATACGGGTGTTTCACCTGCGAGGCCCTTCAGGAAGGTGGATTTACCGCAGCCTACTGGACCGACAAGGATAATGACAGTACCAGTGGGAGAAGATTCAAGCTTAAGTGTGATACCGGGTGTCTCTGGCGGAGAGGGAGATTTCCAGCCAAATCGGACATTTCGCAGTGATAGGATAACTTCTTTCTGCGTGTGTGAACTCTTTGGAAGCGGACGTAGCTCGATACCGGAAATACTGTCGGTTGAAATTGAGTGAGCCGATACCGGCTGAGGAAGCTGTCTCTTATCTGTGTATAACATGGTTTTATTAGTTCACTTTGAGAGATAAAAAGTGTGATTCGGGGTCCAGGAATATTGGAACATGGTCAAAATGGAGAGAGAACTGGAGTGCTTACCAAGACGGCTTGGATTCATGAGGAAGTCCTGTATCCTATTTAGGCAACCTACTGATGCATATGTGTCGGGAATCGCCATCAAAAGATAACTCAGCGGCGTAATCATCAAGCTTATAAGCGATAATGATGTGATGGCTTTGTTGACGGCAAGACCTCCAGAGCCCTGTAGCAACGCTAATATCGCATAGGCAGCGAGTGTCACAAGTTGTCCAACAATTATAGGAGAATTGACTAGAGATCAGTGTCAGCACATTAATGAGCACGGTAATCCTATATATCTGACTAGGAATAGGGATTAAAGTAAGCACGGCACGCACCCATGCATACACGAATTGACTGGAGCTGGCGGAATTTTTTAGAAATTTCAAGCTCCTCCGTGCGCAATCTTTCGATCATAGAGCTCATTACCTCGGCCAATCCGAGGACTTTAACGTTACGAATAGACCCCAGGATGGAAGTCGTGAAGTTGATTCGCTTCTCGGTAGCCCGAAGCCAACTTTTTTGCCGAGCAGAAACAGCATTGCCCATGGCAAATGAAGAACCGGTGAAGACTAGAATAGTTATGTTAGACAATAAAAGCTGCAAGGCGATGATTGGGGAAACGGGCAGACTAACTTATCACCACCAAAATAGGAGCGATACAGACGGCACCGACTTGGGTTTGTAGCAACCATGTAGCTAGTGCCAATTGTAGCACGTTAGCCCAAGTCTCGCAAACCACCGAATAGAAATATTCAGCGAGCATCTCTATATCAGAGCCTAGAAGGGCCATAGCACTAGATTCGTCAGTGCTTCCTAGTGGTAGATCCATCATATGCTGGAAGACAAGAGCCATCAGACCGCCACGAAGTATAGTTGTGGCACGATATCCCAAGTGCTCGTAAGAGGCCCTAGAGACCTAGAGGAAATGTGAGCTTTACTCTTCACAGTGTGACTGGACATCAACTAGCTTACAGCAATCCCGGTAAAAACAATGGCAGTTGCTGCAATTAAGCCGTAGCCCATGTCCTGCGACAACGAGCTGGTCTGCTGCAAGACAGCGACAACTTTGCCAATCAAAAAGGGCTGCGCAATACTAAAACCCACCACACAAAGCCGTGGGAAGGCGATTGTCGCAATTTCCCACCGCAGACACTTGAGCACCGCCAAGAGCAACGCATTCTGTGCATTCTGCGTGCGGCGAGCCCACGAATCTGCAAATCGAGTAGACACTTCTGAAGACAAGAGCTTTCTATGAACAGTAGGCAGAGCATCTCCGGTCAGTGATACGGAGTGCCCTTTCCACAGCAGGCCATTCAACCAAGTAAATAAGCCTCGACTGAAAGGTCCGCTCGAACTTTCAATAGAGTGGTCCTTTTCAGTGGGCACAAACCATTTCCGCTTCTCAGTATTTGTAAGTACCAAGAGAAGTAGCTTGATGGCTAAAGATACAGAGAGGCAAACTGAGTACGAGTATGCGTGATAGTCAGGTAGCAGCCAGGCCGTGCGCACCCGCGCAAGATCTAGAAGCAGTGTGACGAACAAGTAGGCGGAGGCAAGAAATGATGGCCGGATGGATCGGAAATGCTCCAGGTCAACAAGGATTATAATGGCCAGCGCCGATAAAAGATCGAAAATGGCACTCGCAAGTAAGATGCGCCCCCCAGCAAAGTGCTGCGTTGCGACAAGTACCAGGAGTGCAACCTGAATGGCTGCAAAAGTTACAGAGACAGCCTGCATGAGAATAATGCTTAGAGGTCGGTTCCTCTCATACGAACCGAATGCCAATTGGAGGTAGGAATACATACTAATGTTACCACACGGAATGCGGAAGGGAGCACTTTGGGTGACTGCCTAGACAACTGAAAAAGACGAAAGGTTGCCGACAAGAGGAAGCAAGCCGCTGGTAATATGTTCAAAATGCCGGATTCGAAAGCCACCGTGAAGTCGAAGCCCCCACGACAGTCCGCTGTAGAAACAATGGGACCAAACTGGCTGTCGCCACATGCGCCCGTGGCCTGAGTTGATGCCATGGCAGAACCGTTGTGAGCCCAAGAAGAGGAATTTAGAAATCTGACGTAGGAATGTTGATGAAGTCCCACTGGCGATAAGCCAGGAGGTTGAACCTGAGGCGCAAACAGCGACTCTCAAAGCACTGGTAACCGAAAGCCACTCACACGAGGGATATTGTAGTCTTAGATATCGCCTTAGCAAATGCTGGCAGATTGTTTTCACAGACCAGCCATGAATGTGATCTGGAGGGGTAGTATGCAAATGCAGACTTGTTAGGTACATATGTAGTATCCATCCAGCTGGATCAAGAGTGGGATTATGTAAAAGTGCAGCCTGCCCTGGGGGCCACCTGGGCAGGTTCTTTTGTCTCGCACGTGTCATTAGCCCAGATTTGACTAGCGGTAATACTATTTATCTCGATATCATATTGAGCCAAGGCTAATCTTGCTTAGAAACTATTATCTTTACGAGGGCACTGGAGACGATGAGATGAATAGTGAACTTCTTACGGGTTACATTTGTCTTGAAGTGATTAGGATAAGCAACGATTGCACTTGATTCACAATATGAGACTATGTGTCGAAGATTTATTCTCATTCACATCCTACTTCTCAAATCAAGTTGGGACTCCCCTACTCCGTAGAAGTCAAGACCCAAATGTGCCAAGATCAAATTCATTGCTTGTCGGAAGGGATAAGCTTCGCCCTCGGAGATCCGCCGGAGTCCGCAGAGCGGGTCCCTTGGCAACCAATCATTCCTATCTCGATGCACATCACCCTGGTTGATTTAGTGAGGTTACATCCAACGATTCGCCTTTCGCGTGTTCCTATCAGCAGCCTGGCAATCTATGTTGTAGCTATAGTATGCCGGATGTTCCCAGGCTGACCCTAACATATTCTTAAGCGCGTGTGATTTTGATATTATTCGATCAGAAAAGGGGCAACCCGTCGTATAGCCTATAATGTGATCATCAAAGAGCGAGCCTGTCAGATATATCTAAGCACCTTCCGAACACACTTGGCATTTTTGTCATATCTCTAGCTTCTAGCCATTCTTGTTCCCACTACGGAGTAAAGAGATTGGCGTTCTAGACTTCATTAGTGCGATCGTGGACTAGGTCTCTTGATGTATCAAGTTCAGGTGCATGAGACCTGTCTTGTTCTTGCCCCCAGACTTCCGAAGTGCTGACGCATTACGGAGTACTTCGTAGAGAGGACACAAAAAATATACTCTCTTGCAGAAGTACTCCGTACAGCTGGACCTCGATAGATTTATCGCCGTCATGAACGCAGTGTGTGCTGTACATCTGTGCTTCCAGGGGTCTACGCTTAGCGGCTATGCTACTGGTTTGAAACTCGTGCAAGTCATGGGAGTATTTCATAATTCCCAAACTCACAGACAATAGAACAAGGTTTACTCGATGGGAGCAGATAACCCGAACATAAAAGATGCATAGAGGATCCTAGCTTCAGCTCGCACCGACTACAACATAGAGATTGCAAAAGCAATCAAACAGAATACTGGGAGGGCAGCAGCCATGAACCTTATCGCACGTGATATTCAAGTTATTTTCAAAATAGAAAGCTCTCAGATGAACCAAACAGGTAGCAGCTTGGAAGGACATGTTGAATGTCGTCTTACCCAAGGTAACTTGAACTAGATACAAAAAATTCTTGACAAACAAGCACACCAAGCGTCAAGCAGTTCAAGAACCTGCAACCTCCTCCTGGCTCTGGATCTTGTCAACTCTTCTCTTTGCAAGTCTTGCCGGGATTCTATCCATTCTCCTCCTATCAGGCAATCGACAGGGCTTTGCCCCAGCTTGTAAGCCATGGCGGAAGACAGATTTAGGTAAATGGCCCCCAATATTGGTGTTGGTGCGACTACAAGTGTCCAGAATGTATGCTAAGATATAGAATACTTCATAGAGCCGGCGTCACGAAAATTAGTAGAGCACGAAAAGCGCTTTAACGGAGCCCTCGTGTATAATGAAACTGGGAACTTGGTGATAGAGTCTACCCAGGGGGAAGATAAGTGGGTTGGAAATCCTACGCCTGAGATGGATGCCCTTTGGGATCGAGTGGAATCAGGTAAAAAGTCGTTTGAAAGTTATTTGCTATGGATCAGATCTGCTAAATAAATTGCTAGGCTCGATTGTACTGCTCGAGGGCCCGGAAGCCGACATGGTCAGGGATAAAACCCTTCTTTACGACGGGTACTGGCTTACGGGCCTTGATGTGATTCATCAAATGCATTGTCTTGTATGATCGTCTCAATGGACGAAATTATCAAAATGGGGCTAACCATCATCCTGGTCTAGAATATGATCCGGAAAGCCCTTTATCCTGAATACTACCAGCCCAAGCAGTCAGCGGGCGTCGAACTGCTTCATCTTGGTGAGTATCGATCTCTTGTGTGTAGCCCTACTCTTGATTGATCTTTTGCTAGAACACTGTTTCGACTACATTCGGCAGGCCATCATGTGCAACTCCGACATAACCCCAGTTCCACTGACTTGGTATCAAAGTGCAAGAACCTTCGGTCCTGATTTTCGCACGACGCACACATGTCGTGACTTTGAGACATTGCTACAGTGGTCTCTGAAGAGAAATTCAACGGCGATGAAAGAGAAAGGTGCTGGGATGGAACATGCGAAAGACCGTCTGATGGTGATGCCGGGCAGTTTACAGGGAACGAATGGGTTGAGTCATGGGGACCATCACGGGCATTGAAATAGCGAATTTATATTAAGATTTACTACTCCAGCATTTGATAGTTATTTCGTAAACTAGGGCTCATCGCTCTCCTCTCCCTGAGCAGGGGGGTGAACAAAGACCAGGCCCACCAGGCACAAAACGAACGACCCTGCCAAACCATAATACGGCAGCCCAAGCGACATGTCTCCCAGTTTCATTCCAGTCTCAAATAACCACGCGAATGCCGGCCCAGCAAAGAGCGACCCTGTTGTTTGGACTATGCCGATGACCGTATTCAATTTGGACGTGTCCTGTGGTGTCACATAGCTAGTTGCTAGCGAGCGACACAGCGGGGCCAGGCCCGACCCGAGGCTATGAATCGCTAGCCCAGCAATCACCAATCCTATCTGTGGCGCAGCCATGCAGAGTGCTCCGACGGCGGCAATAGCAACGGAGGCACGGGCAAGAGTCAAGTCCTTGACAGGAGGGCGCTGATATCGCAAGAGTACCCTGGAGAGTAGAGGAAGTGTGAAGAGCAGGACTACCATGTGGATGACCCCGCGGAGGGTCAAAAGATAGCCCGTTTTGGCGAGAGGCCAGTCAAAACGCTTGCTAATGTACTGTGCCAAAAATTGGGATGTACCCAGGACCTCAGGTGCCGCTGTGAGAAAGGTGGCCAACACAATAACCAGGGAAGAGGACTTGAGCGATGCGATGGAAGAGCCGAGTTGAAGGAGCTGAGAAAGGTGTGATCGGAAATTATGAGGCCCATCTTCTGACTCTTGATCAGAGTCGGAGTCTTGCTTTGATGGCGACAACGTCTCGGGTACGAAGAAGAGCGGGATTAGAGCAACCAGGTTGGCGAAGAAGGCGATGAAGGCTGAAACCCAAGGTGAAAATGTTTCCATAAAGACGGAGGAAATAGCTGGCCCAATAGAGGCGCCGACTAGACTGGCGAATGCCATGAGGAAAAATGTGGAAGCTCTTTTTTCATATGTGTTAGATATCCTATGATTCATCGAGATGGGTGTCTGTGAGAGCATACCGGTCTGATTGAACCACCAAATCCGATGCGATCGAGTACAGATTAGCGAGAAGCACGGTATTTCCACCGCCGACGACAGCAAACAACGGACCAGCCAGGATGAACTGAACTCGGAAGATCCTAGGCAAACCAATTACAGCTAATTCCCAGGCCAAGGATAGTGAGGTCCCAATCATTGACAGAATAATAATGGGTTTCCGACCGACCCTGTAGATAAGTGAGTTATGATTCTTGTTAAACCAATTCAAAGATCTCCCTCACCTATCAGCCAGGACTCCAAATGGAAAAGCCACAACAAGACCTAGAGCAACCAGTCAGCGTCGGACAGCCTGAAGTCAAGGTAAATTACTCATAGTACGTACCAACGACGGCCTCCACAAGAGGGAGGCAGCCATTGAGATAAGCCAACTTGGACTGAATCTTATCAGTCTTGCAGAGCTCTTCAGTTGGGGCGCCCTGTTGAATATATCGACTACAGAGGTTGTCTTCGATGAGTCGCGTTAGGGGCACATTGAGAAAAGCCCCCGCGGCAGACAGGCAGAAAACAACAGCAGACAACCAGTAGATTGATAGCCACCTGGTGGCTTTCTGCTGCCTACCAAGTAATGGAGTGGTCTCTTCGAGCATCGCTACTAGGTGGGTTTGTCGTGGTAAAGAGGTGAGAGGTGAGAGAAGGGGAATGTTGGCGAGTCATGCGACCGTGCTATTTAAGCCAAAGGGCGCTACTCCGTAGCCAGCATTGAATGCAACCCTGATTTGGAAATCGAATGCGTACTAAGTACTGATAAGATTGAGTTAAAGTCCATGAGATTTACAATTCTACGCAAGTTCGAGTTACATCGACCCTTATGGAGTACACGATATCGTCTCCTCTATCTTCGAGTTGATTATAACAATACTACGTGCTTATGGAGGGTTAGTATCCATTTATATATCTTTTAATTTCCGTATGAAGAAAACGATAAAATCGCAGAGTATTTTATTTTACTAACTGAGACAAATTTCCAAGGTTGGTAATTGCACAGAACTCCTTTTAAACTTGCTAAATCTGGCGTCAGGTACGAGGAATGGCCAGAGAACCATGTGCAGGATTCATCGTTTCCGACATAATACGGGTGATGTAGCTTTCGCCGAAGGTGAGCCTAGTCGACGCAAAGAGACGCGTGTAGATTTGATTCGGTATTTCGCCTGGAAGTCACAAAAGTATGCTCTGGTCTTGGGAGCCTACGTGTCGACTTTCCATCCTTTCCTTTGGTAAATCCATGAGTGAAAGTCGTTGAGCAGTTTCCTCGACAATGTGAAGATGAAGATGGTTGAAGACGAAGATGGCCCTACAGCAATTTGGTAGGCGGTTGATGGAGGCTGGTCGTTGGTCGATCGAGGGCGTTGTGGGCCAGCTGTAGTGATTTCTGATCTGGAGGCGAAGAGGGGAGAAGAAGGGTCTGACTCTCTACAAACAAACAGAAGCTATCTATGTAGGTAATATAGCTATACAGAGCCTGGCAAACAAGGCATCAGCAAGTCAGCCCTTGGTTAAAGGTAAAAGAATTATCCCACTGGAAAATAGAGTATATATGTGTTGAGTACTGCTACCAGGTGGAGAGGGAAGAAGAATCCATGAACTTTCAACTTACGAAAAGCAAGCCTTTTATAGGCTATATGTAACAAAGAAGCGCTCAGTGTGCCAGAAAACAGAGCCAGAAATCAATGGGACGATTTGTCAAGTGAGAGATATCCGATGCAAGGTGGGTGTTTGATTCGGGATGGTCCTGGCATATCTGCACCGGCGAGGAGTTGTTTGTCACATACGAGAGATACAAACCAGGCAGTCATTCTAAGCGAAGCAAAGTGAAGTAAAAAATAGATAACTAAGAGATATCTCTATCTTTCCCCAAAGTCAGGCTGGAATTAAGAGGTGAAATACAAACTGAAGTCACCTCTAACTATTAATAATAGCGAATATGAACGCGTAGGCCAAATGTGTCTATAATTCTAAGGGATATCGAATATTTGGATCTAAACCTTGGCCTTAGAACCTTTACCTTTGTCATTTTAGCATTGATTTTGACCGTACATGCATCGTACCCAGTATTTCTGTCACAATAATTTTATACAAATCCTATACCACGTGATTCCGGGCCCACCTCCAATAGAGTTGATCCTGACACAACCTTATTTCAGAGACAGCGCTGGAGGGCTTGATATGGACATATATCTCTTGTATATTGTATCTACATCTTGCAACATCGTTTAGTCCAATCTTGTAGTTTCTGATCTCAAGATACCATTTGAGCATGGAGAAGAAAACAGAAGATATTCAAACAGCACCACGTGACCCATTTCCTTTTTCGGAAGCATATGTCACCTATACTCATAATTGTACATGTCGATCAATACCTTTACAAAAACGGAGCATATATGCCTAGTATACTGCTTGACACAGGGCCCTCATTTACTCTGACCGCAAATGCAATATGTGGGCTACATTGCAGAAACAAATATGGGATTATATACAACCACTCCATCACAAAACCAACTCCCAACATTCCCCATAATGCCCCTCCCCAAAAGCCCCATGGTCCTCAGAACTAACAAGCCGATATCCCTCCTTCGCATACAAGTTCCTAGCCGAAACAAGGACGTTCTGCGTCCAAAGCCGAATCCGCGCATACCCCGCCTCGCGCGCAAACCGCGTGCACTGCTCAACCAGAGCACGGCCAAGTCCAAGACCCCGGGCGCTAGGCTCAACAAGAAGAAGACGCAGCTTGGCTGTGTTAGTTGCGCCTCTGTCTCGGACAAGGACTATACAGCCCAGGGACTCATTGTCGCGTTCCGCGATCCAGCACCGGTCTGTGGATGCGTCGTAGTTGTCTAGGAATTCTGTACCCACTTTGCATACGAGCGCTTCCATTTTCGTGCCCCAGCCTTGTTCTTTCTCGTACAATGCTGCATGTCGGTGGATTATCCAGCCTATGTCCCCTGGTCGGTGGGTGCGGAGTGTGTATCCCAGGGACTGGGGTCCTTGGGGGGTCTGGGGATTCATTGTGGATGTTTTGCGGGATTGGGACTGTCTTGCAATAGGGAAAGAAAGGGATCGTGCGTGACTTAGGAGAAAGCCGATATAGTTGTAGATATTTTATTGTGTAGAGCACACTGCCTTATCGGGACATGTCATTGGAAGGGCGTGGACTAAAAGTCAATATTTCCGAAGAAAACAGACCCACACCAAGCTATAGATTCGGATGTTGCTATGTGCAATACAAAGATGTAGACGAATTGGATCCAAGATAACACGGATGTTGCATTCAATGCATTCAATCCAAGTGATATACAATGCAAAACATGGCGTCAAGACAGTGTGGCCTGAGCATACATAAACTAAACCTTCGGGCATGCAATGGCCCGAACAAACCAGCCAAAACGGCAAATGACCTTTCTACAATGGTGTATCCACGCCTGAGTGAAAGTATAACCAGAAATAAACGAGTCATAATGAAAATAGATGCGGAGGAGCTACGCCCCATCCTCAGTGCTCCGCCCGAACCGGCCTCCAAAACCGCCTAGATCGCGGCGGAAGAACTTGCCAATATTCTTCAGGTTTTCATTGAGATTTCCTGTGGTACTTTCTGTTGGCGTCTGCATGGTACTAGACTGTAGGGCGGAGCTGGCCAGGGAAGGTGACAAGGCGCCTGATGGGCTGGTCACGCCAGATGCAGATGTAGTCGTCCCAGCAGTGCCAGCCACACCAGCACCCAGGGTGCTCAGACTGGGATTTCCGAAGCGGTCGACACCGTCTTTTGCAGCGGACATGATAGCAGAGCCGAGCAGGGAGGCGTCAAAACGGGAGGGCATTGCTGCGGCGGCGCTGCCTAGACCCAGGCCTTGGGATACGGACCCGGTTCCGGTAGCAGATGGCCCTTGGAGAGCGGCGAGTATTGGGTTGCTCTGCTGGAGACTGGATGCATAGCGGTCTGATGCACGGTGAAGCTGGAATAGCTCCACGAGGTGATTTTGATCTTGGCGGCTGCGGATACCTTTGAGATCGAGGATTTTGCGGAAGTTGTTGTTATTGCGGTCGGCAATGTGGATGAGGTATGCTTGTACAAGAGCTTCCGGTGGTGACGGCCGGACCTGGAGGGTTTTGAGGAGAGTTTCGATTTTGAAGAAGCTGCTGTTCACGCGCTTTACAAAGCCGGCGGGCGCTGGAGCGGGTAACAGGGATGAGAGACCACTCTTGAGAGTATAGGAATCGAGAAGCATCTATGAATGGAGTTAGTAAGATCTAGGTACATCGCAGAGGTCACATCATACCTGTTCTGCGCCGGTCTCTGAAAGAGGCTTGCATTGGAAAACATTGCTAATGAACTGGCTCGACATGAGCTCCACCAAATGATCGGAGAAGGCACGCGCATATTGTTGCTTATGCAGCAACTGTAAAATTTCAGTTGCCTTCTCCTTCGTCCGGGAGAGCATCTCGCCCACATACGAGCTCTGATCACTGACAGCCTCGATTTTAGCCCAAGGTGTATTGCGCATTTCGCGCCAGGAAGGCTCGAGAGCAACTTCGACTTGGCGCACAAGGCCTCGTACAGCAGCGGATGCAATTCCCATGAAAGAGTCTGCCTGACTTTGCAGATCCACGGACTGCTTCAGGTTCTCATCCAATCTACCCCTAATTTTGTCTTCCAATTGGGAGCAAGTCGTGTAGCAATAATCAGCAGTGTTCAGAACTGTGACGTAATCTTCTACCGAGGGCACCCTAGATGGCGTGTGAACTGTCGGTCGTTCACTTATATAATTGAGAAGCACTTGTTGGGCGTATTGGTCTAGATATTTGGCGAATACCTTGGCCAGCTCCGCCAGACTGCCACCAGTTGACAGCTTGGCACATTGTTGCAAAGCGTGGCGATAGAAAGTGAAAAGCTCAGTCGAGGATGAAATCACAATATGCGAGTTGAACTCCTCGTCTGGCACTTTGAGCGGTTGCTGGCGGTATTTCGGCAGCAGGGCTGCGAGTTGCTTGTCTTGAGCCTCGACCCAGACACTGAGGTATGGCTCGAAGGCCTCGGAAATTGACTGGTTGAATACAGGCGGTTCGGCAGAGGCGAATGTATCCACGGATGCCCGGGACGAAGGGGCGAACCGGCGCTCAAGAGAATGCTCGAAATCAAGCGTCTCTTGCAAGCACGAGAGGAGCAAATTGACATCGATAGCCTGTCCGCTTCGTACAGATCGGGATAGAATGCCCTTGAAATCTTCTCGTGTACCTTCGCAGAAGACATTGGCTAAGACCTCGTTTACTCTCCACGAAGCCGGGAAGATGGCCGCATTCTCTTCGTCATATATCTTCAGTATGCGCCGGAACCATGAATATCGGCGGGAGATGTTGTCCAATGAACCAGCTTCCTCATTGTTCCGGAAAACCTGCCGGTACTCACGGAGCTGTGTGTTGCAATACCACGTCACGAGTCGGGACCGTGCATGTTCACCCAGAGCATCTGCGACCAGACACGACTCCGCAAGCATCGCGCGCTTCGAGCCTACCTCCCCCTTGGCGAAGGCCAGCTCGAAGTCCTCACAAACCTGCTCCTGGAGGTCTCGTTGTATATCCGCGACGTTCCGACTGAGCATTGCGATTTGATCAATCGATCGGTATGACTTGAAATGGGCCATGAGCTGAATGACAGCTTGGAGTAGCTGTGCACATTCTCCATATTGCCGCGTCCGACTGAGGGCTTGGAGCTGATCATACGCCGTAGTCAGCATCTGCAGGCGCTTAAGCGCCGTCATCGATAGCGTGAGGTTCTTCTTTGCGTTGTCTAATTGTTTGATGTCGGCTGTCATGTCGGTGATTGCCTGCTCGGTCTTCAATGCTCGCTCCCGCACGTCATCGATCTTCTTAAACAGCTCCGATAGGTCGGCCTTAGCTGCCTGGATTCGTTCCACGCTATCGGCATTGGAGGTGACCTGCTCCTCCACCAGCATGCCGATGTCATCGTCCAGCTCATCTTCGCATTCGTTTAAGGCATCGGCGATCTGAGAAACGGAGGAGAGGGTGGATGGATGGGAGAAAACGGCATTCAAGTGTTCAATCGGATCGTAGTCCACTGGATGTACCTCGTAAGTTAGCATATATAACAGTGAGCACGAGAGGTCAATTGTTCCGCACCCGCATCCAAGGCGTCGAGGCATTGTTCCTCGTTAGGCGACATGTGGCCGGTGGTTGTGGCTGTGGTCGTCATTCCATCAGCCCACCAGAATCATCCTGCCCTTGGTCTCAACTTGCTTTTCGTGAGGCCAATGCGGAATTCGTGGGAGGGAGAAGTTGAATGGGGGATGTTGATCGCAGCCCGCATGGCTCTAGCGCGCCAGCTTGGCATCTTCCGCAATTACCGCAAACCTCACAGGGCTGCACTTACAGAGCCAACCAACCCTTGAGATTCTCTCGTCTACACTTTACTACCAATATTCTGAATGAAATTAAAATGGAGATTCATTTGATTCATTACTTCTCATAAAGTTCCTGGCCCAGTGGCCCACGTCCAGATTTTGGAAGGTCTCTATTCTTATAAGGTCTAGCGACTATCCGTACCTTATAGTTTAGTTCTATAGGCTGTATTCTCTTTAGAAAAAGGCCACCGGATACTAGGAACTATTATCCTTATAATACTAAGATAGCACTATACCTAGGATACTATCTAAGGTATAAATCTGGGGGTAGCGTCGAGCGCTTGATGTTGCCTGCGCCTCCGTTGAGAATCAATGCTGGTTTGAATGATGCTGGAGGGCTGGACCTCGTTGGTAGTGATAAGTCGAGCGAGGAGGGGTGCGGGGAAGGAGGCTGAGCGGAATCATCCGATGTTGACTCGGCCATGCACAAGCTTCACGTCTTCAAAATGAAGTTCTTGCGACTGTTCATTAGCACTGCTGATTAGCTCATTTTTGTGTCCACTCCAAGAATATACTTGCAAAAGGGCTCGACAAGTAGATCAGAAATGAAAATACATGCAGAAGAAAAGCGAATTATGACTGTAAGCCATGCGTTAATATACAAGGATCCACCACGTCTCTTCTGAACGCTTTTTGCAGTAAGTAGAGAATTCTTTTAGATGGTCTCCTGGCCACGAGGAATCACGCTGGTTAACACCAGCCACAGAAAATCGCCATCCGTAAAATACAATGCTCCGAAAACAAGGCCGTGGAAAGCGGTATCAAAAGGCGTAAGCGGAAAAAAAAAAAAAAAACAAGAACCTCTATGCCA